ACATTCAGTAAAGCCAATACACATAAAAGGTTCACAAACATGCATTAAACCACATACAATGTTTACAAAAGATCACATTTATCTTTCCTAATGTCTTAATTTTGTTTTCCCAAATCATTTTCTCTGCCCCATAAATTTTTATGCCGAAGACATCTTTAATGTCATGTTTCCGCCTTCGTACTATTTGATCTCTCCCTCTTTTTTCCAGGAATCATACCTTTCATCAACATTCCTGCAGAATCTACCCTACCAAATTTACAATGGCCAAAGTGTTTCAGTTTCTGAAACAATATGTTGTTAATATTTCTAGTTATGCCACCAAAATATTTCTCCTAGTTAAAATATAATATCTCTTATGTTTCATGATAGCAACTAGCCGTCTTATACAAACTCTGAAGAAAGCTGCAGGTGCCATAATGACAGAATATGTAACACAGCCTACATTATAATGAGTAAGAGCAGTAAAGACACAAATAAAACAATTTTTTAAGCATCATTAGCAAATAAGGCACACACAAATTGAGTTTACAAAATTAGAGCACAAAGACATATCACCTAGGCAGAATTAAAGATGTGTCAATCTCAACATTAATCAATATGTCTCATCAATTATGTTTTAATGGTTTTTCCCCCCTCATCCAATCCATCAAATGCCTCAACCTTCTTCTGCCATTTGTCTGTCAAAAGACCTAAGGTTCTTAACCAACTTATCTTATCCTTTGCTACTGCTTGCAGCTCACCCCACCTCCTTCCATCTTTTTAACTTTTCTCTAGCTACTTTCTCCATGTATTTTTTAAGACTGTCCTTATTTCTATGCCCCTGTGGGTTCCAGTATAAAGACACTTTCACCATATCGTCCTCGAATTTTCTGTGTGTGTCCTATCCAAAGCCAGCATTTTTCTTTAATTCATTGGAATTTATTAATCCATCCAATTTACTGTAGTCATAACGCATGAATACGTTTACTTTTAGCAGCAATGCTTGAATGTTGCAATTTCTGGTAAAAGTTTTGGTCACTCCTTTATAGCACATGATTTATGCTTCACTTCATGTGTGAATAATTTTGTTTACTGCAATAAATTTCAACATAAACATGGTCAAAATTTGTATGAGATAAACTTTTAATATGAGCAGTGACTTTTGATGACTTTTGCTATTAATCAAATAGAGGAGCTGGCTTTCTACCATCAACAAATGTGTCCCTTAGTCTATGAGGTTAGTGATACGTGGTGAATAACAACTATTATTGTATAATGATCCCCCCCCAACAAAAATTGTTAAAGAAATGCATCTTTCACTAACTGCTTCACAATGTCATGAATTATCTATCTGCCTTTTAATAATACAGTTACAATTTCCTTACATCAAATTTTTTTCCAAATGAATCTTTGCAGAAATAAGCTATAAACTTTGCTGATTATTTAGGAAAATATTTCAACATTTTCTTCTGATAGTCATCTGTGACTTAGGGTCATGAACCCGGTTTGTAATTCTGAATTAAAAATTCCAATCCAGCTGCTGACAATATGGCAGTAGAACGCTTGGCATTGATTTCAATAATGAGAGCGAAAGCAATGGCAAACTACTAAATGTAAAAAGGGATACATAATTAACATATGTTGCTCATTAGAATTCTACAAAAGCTTGGGACCAAGTTACAAAATCTTGTGACGATTAGAGCACACCAAGCTTATAATGCATGCTACCAACAACTAGATAAATGCAGGATTAACCACATGCTCCTGTGGGAGCAAACAGGAACACAACACTGAAGCAGCATTGGAAAAAGTTCTCTGGTACTGCTACACTAACTTGTGTAACTAGTCACATCTATAACGTCAATGAAACACAGTGAACATTGAAGTCATCAAACAGAGCTATCAGCTGAATTGATTCACAAGATAAAACACACACACATGGCAAATCACCTTTCACAGGTCTGGCTGCTACAAAATTAAAATAAAACAATCAGCTTAAAAATGGGCAACTGCTGTGGTGAATTTTAAAACTTCTTATAATTTTTCAGTAAATATAAAGTGTACAAACTGGAGATTTAAAAACTTAAGATAACTTCACAGCACATACAGTGAAATGATACATATCTTAACTATCTTCTGGTTATGATACAAAAGTGCCACAATTTATCTTCAACTGCACAGCGATCTTGAGTGGCTAATTTTAGTATTTAAAAATGTATACAACAAACCAATTTCTATCAAGGATAGAATATCCCTAGGGACTGCCAATGAAGACATATTTATGCTCTGTGTGACACACCTGGCAAACGACTAGTCTCTTTGCAGAGTCCAAGCGACAAGGAATAAGCGTGGTGTTCTGAAATCTGTTCAGTTACTTTTAAACATGAGAGATAAAATGAATGTACCCTTCAAAAATATACTGTCTTATACTGTTCAGTTACCTTTAACTAGAGAATGGCTATAAAAGCTAAACAACATCTTCCTTTATGACCCACCCACAGAATTACACTGACATTAAAAATACTGTAGAGCAATATTCTTCAACAGACGGAGGTAAACAATTTACACAATCATGTAACAGGGAAAGAAAGGTAGTTTTAATCTTCCAGGATTGAAAACTGTATGATTAACACATTTAGGAAGAGAAACAAAAGACGTCACATTAGCCGAAGCTTTTAATTATGCAACACTGGATTTCACACAAAAACTGCCATCTACAATTGTTTTTGTTTTTGTGTTTGGATAGCTGTGAGGTGGGGGGGTCGTGAAACAGTTTCCCCTGTATTAGTAGGCTGTGGCTGTAATAAGGTTTGGGAACACCGCTGTAGAGCATCTACCAAACACAAAAGAATGTATATGACAAACTAATGAAGTGAAATATCTGCACTTTCATGCAAAACACTTCGGTGATATAACAAATATGAGGGACTATGTATTCAAACTTAATATGCAGAATATCCAAGAAAAATAAATGTCTGCCAATCCCAATCCATACTGTTCCAAAAGCAAGGCATGTTATTCTCTCTAATGGGTCTAGCCTGCACAAAGTGTGTTTTCTGTAGACCAGCATTACAGAAAAAAAAAAAGTAAAGGACCCTTTTACATGTTTTCAAGCATATTGGGCTTTACCTATATTTTATAGACATCATGCCACTTATTGGGTGATGTAGTCAACATCTTGCCACTTATTGGGTGATGTAGTCAACATCTTGCCACTTATTGGGTGATGTAGTCAACATCTTGCCACTTATTGGGTGACGTAGTCAACATCATGCACTTATTGGGTGATGTAGTCAACATCTTGCCACTTATTGGGTGATGTAGTCAACATCATGCCACTTATTGGGTGATGTAGTCAACATCTTGCCACTTATTGGGTGATGTAGTCAACATCACGCCAATGGTATTTACTTCCCATTTAAAGCTGGGTCAACCTGGAACCCAGTCATTTTGGAGAGAGAAAAAAAAAAGGCCAGAATATTTATTTCAAACATGTTGAATTCATTCTGAAGTTATGTTTCTTTTGACTTTGTGGTGCACTGGTTTTTACAACCTGCGATTCAGATTTCTGTCCCAGCTCCAAGCACCCAGTGAAGGCTATGGGGTATCAACACTTTACTAAGGGCTCCACATGGATTGACTTCAAGAAAATGCAAAAATAATAAGAGACATGTCCGAACAACTGCTGGTATCACCAGTTATGGCACAAAGAGGATTGCAATATATTGGGCACACCTGGGGGAGAACAGAGAATGACCCAACAGGCACTAAAACTGAAAAAACCAAAAGGATTAAGGAAGTCCAAAAGAAACCAAGAAAGGCTAAAGGCTTCTGGACTGGATTGCATCCATGATTTACAAGAAAAACAGAATTGTATAGCACAGAATGGGATGCAGGAATCGACTGCAGGTCCTAAATGATGTGTAAATATAGTGACCATACATCCCCCTTTTCACCAGGACAGTCTCAATTGTAGGCTTGTCCCGGTCATCCCAACACACATAAGCACAAATCGTCAATTGTCTTATTGTGAAAAACCATAGGAATTACCTTGAGAACAGAACATACAGTTACACATGTGGACCTTTTTAAATCTCATAGTTTCCTATACTTTTAGTGCCTGAAACGTATTTATGGAAACTTTCTTTGTATTCTCCCATCACCCCACCTCCCTTCTGCAGTTACAGAGTATACTGCTTCCTATTCTTTCTTGGCAACAATGGTTTGGGTTTAAATACCATTGCCGAGCGAGTAATTAACCCTTTCACCCAGGAGACCTAGGGGGATAAAAGAGGATGTCTCATTTTCAGCTCAAGATATTTTGGTGACCTTATGTAAAAAGCACACAAGAGGAGCATGATAATGATGAAGGTTAACACTCCACCATTTTACAATAATGCATGATTCACATTACATTCCACCTTGTAACAATAAGTATCACATTCCCTTAATATTACATTCCACTAACACCATTTACAAATGCTTAAGGACCACATTCCACCATGGATACTAATTAACAATACATGATCTCCTCAACTAACGAACAGGTTTCATTATCAGGTCTTAAGTTGAATTTATATTTTTCAACACAATTATACAAACTGTAAATAAAACACAAAAATTCAGTCTATGTACTATACTTAGCGTACATAATATGTACTCAGTTCGGGAAACTTTTTGACACTACCAATCTTTCTTCTTTTACTATTTTTATTAATTTCTGTTTGTATGGTTAGGTGTGCAGATGACCGTTAGTCGAGGAGAAAGTGTTAAAAAAATTGCATTCCAACACTAAAACCAATCAACAATATGTAAATACTGCATTCTATTAAAGTAAATTAGACGTCAAACAGCATCCAAACAATCAGAAACCAGAGGAAGATGCCATCATGGAAACACACACCTAAATGAAACCAGTGAGAACTAATTTCATCATGCACTGTAAAAACTTCAAAAAAAAAAAAAAAAGGAGTCAAGCATGCAGTTGAGTGTCCTTGCAATGCAGTAGACGAACTACTCACAACTGGCATCTTTAGTTTTCACTTGAGTGCCTGAAAATCAAATTCTGCATTAGGGACACAGCTGCTGAGGCTGATATTAGTAACTGCATAGTTGTACTTCTTCATTTAACCAATATTTTTGCCATGGGTGTAAGTGTATTATGCCTGTCTATTGCAGAGTTGTATAGCCTGTTACAGCCAACACACATCAAGCTTCTTTGGATATATGTTGACAGGGGTAGCCTTCCCAGATGATGAAGTGAATATCTTGAAAGTCATGACAATATGGCACAAATTAACAAGACCACAAATATAGCCAAAGACTGTTTGCAGCTTCTGCTAGCTAGCAGCAGGTTGAACATGGTTGAGTTTTTTATTTTTTCTCAAAATGAATTGGAAATAATTCTACACATGAAATCATAATTGTTACTATATCCCTATTCCAATGCAGAAAGGATCTTCGTCTTCTTTGTTCACCAGCTGTAAGCGACAGCAGCAATTCATGGCTGTTGGTCCATTCGGACTTTGTGCCAGGGCCTAAGTTTTGTGTGTACAACCATTTTACTGGCTTATTTGTGTGCAGTTGGTTGTTCTTTGCTACTTAGCCAGATGCACTCTGACTTCAAAGGAAACTCCTAATTAGTTGACTCATAAGACATGCTTGTTGGAAAGGCAGGGGTCTACTTTTGTTTTCCAGACAACAGGGCCCTGAAACCCACACGCAGAGCAGAAAGGATGAAGAGGATATTATCTATTTAGAATACATAATAATTAATTTGTTCTAGTTTTCAAAATTGCAAATCACATGCTGGAAATTGACTCAACTCTTTTCACAAACAAGTTCACTAAAGTTTTATTATACCACTTCACAGATTTTGTTAGCTGAACATAAATCTGCCAATTGATCTGTGTAACAAACTTCCCCTTCATGTATTTTTTTTACAAATTCTAAGCTCATTGTTCAAAGAAGTTGGAGACCAACAGTGTATGGATGAACTTTTGCATTGGTGTTATGATTTACAGCTAGGCTGTGATACCTGTGCCTTTTGACTCAAGACATCCGATAGCACCAAACCCTTTACTAGCCCCTATCTTGTTTAGAGGCAGTGCATCTATTCTTCTTTCCTCCCAAAAATATGAAATGTTGGTGTTTATCTTCTATCTGCATCAGATGTTGCCAGACACTGTGTTCTTACATGACACAATATACCAGGACTTTTCAACTACTGGGAGCTGAGGTGTCAGGATGTGGCATCCGCCTTGAGTTATGGAGCTCCCAGGTTCAAATACCGGTAAAGCCTAGGATTTTTTCACATGAACTTCTAGTAATTTCCCCTGGCCTCTGGGTAGTAAGACCAGATGCCAGTGTGTATCGGTGCACATGTAAAAAAAATACCTTAGCAGTTGGTCATTGAAAAAGAGTAGCCTAAGGGTGCTGCCCAGGCAAATTTTGGAGTTTAAAAATTTACTCAAAGTATTTCAGTATCCTCGCCGGTGCAACAGAGTTCGCCCACTGCGCTGAGATTCTTCAGACTCAGGTTTCAGTTAGAATTTAGAAAGGAGCACTTAGGCCACGATGTTGATCCATTGAATAAACTAAAACATATTCAGCTAAGTAACAATGGGGATCATCACATCCCAGAAGCCTGAGCCCTAGCATAGAAATATCATTATTACAATGATCTGAGGGCCAGATTTGACCCGTGGGCCACCAGCTGAATAGCCCTGCACTATTCCATTCACATTAATTTCCACTATTTCTACAAGTGCCAATCTTCTTCTTCACGTTTGTAGACTCTGGGAGACAGTACTTGCTGTTCACTCGCTTACAGACTTTGTTTTGGTCCTGTTTCGTAAACCGAGTTTTTCAGGCACAACCATTTTACAGATCTAACTTATTTATATGCAGACTGTTGGTTACTTGCCTCTCAGATAGATATGCATTCAGACTTTGAGTAAACAGCACTAAATAGTCACCTTTATGACATGCTTGTTGTGGGGGGGGGGGGGGGGGGGGGGGGGGGGGGGGGGGGGGGAGAGCAGTGGATCTGTACTTTTACCTCTAAAATGGGGTCCCTGAAACTACACCCAGAAAGTATCAATCAATACTGACAAATTTATTTATCCTCCAATAAAAGAACCAGTTTACTGAACAGCAAACAAATCTTGCAAAATTAACAGTTTATGATGAACAACTGCAAATATCTTGACTACCCCATGCGATTTTTATGAAATTCCTGTTCAACATTCCTCATCTTCATCTTCTTTCTTCAGGCTTAAAAGGGATGTTGCCAAACTGAGTTGTGATCCGCCCAACATTTAACTTAGGTGGCTGGGTGTGCTCCGCCCTCACTAAAGTTTTCTTAACTGGGGGGGGGGGGGGGGGGGGGGAGGAGAGCGCGTTCAAGCTCCTACCCCCAAATTTTTAACTACAAGGTGTTAAGTCATGGGGCAGCTGGGTGTTGAGGCCCCCCCCCCCCCTACTGTTTTCTTCATAGGAAATCTATATCAGATACTGATTGACAGTACGTGAGACTGAGGAGAGACTGATAACCAACCAGCTTTTAGCAAATACTATCAATGAAGAAAAAGAAGAAATTGTATCTGCCTATTTTTTTCTTTCTAAAATAGTAAATATAGTTTAGTCAGCGATTATCCTTTATATGACGTTGCAGAGCCAAATCCGGCACATTCTGGTTGTGATTTTACAAGGCAATTTTACATTGAGTACTCTGCCACTACTGTACGGTCAGCTCTCGGTACTGTTGTCGAAACCGACGCAGGATGGTCTGCTGCCAAATCGCTTAAAGCTGTGATTGAACCCGGTATCTCGGAAATGGGAAGCGCGCTTGCACCTAATCTAGAGACAGACGTCAACAATGTGTTTTTATAAGCTCTGCAAAAATAATAATTCAGCCGCAGTGTGTGGCTAGAGAATACCTCCTTGCATGCAGACAACACACTGCTACTGTGTTCTGATAACGTTAAAAAAAAAAGGAATTCCTTATTACCTGTGCTTTTACGCATTTCTGATAAATCCCTGCTGTTTGTGAGAACCTCAAACGTTTTACCATCCAACGACCACACTGACAAACTCACTAATGACAAACACTAGACGCCAAATTGTGATTTCTTGTAAACACAAGCGATCGGTTACCGCGTATATATTCTTCAATATAGCTAAAGAAGCGTTAAAAAAATTACAATAAAAAACTCTGCAAGTCCGCGTAAAAAAGGAGAAATCTCCCGATCTATTTATTACTGCCGGAAAAACTGCTAACAGATGAGGTATAAACAACACGGTTCGATAGAACGGCTAGGTTCAGGTTTTTGTGTGTGCAACTCTCGGGCCCCGGCCTGGCCTAGTGGTCTACTTATTCCCCCTTCCCCTGACAAGCTCCGTCCGTCCCGATATGGGCCTTAACGCGGTGACTGGGCACAGTTCTGACGTGAGTTAATGCATGGGGGACATTGGCTTAGTGGGAGAGGAGAGGAGATAAGACGGGAAAAAGGGGGGGGGGGGGGGGGAAGCTGGAGGAAGCAAGTTGTGGGCTCATGCCCCGGTGTTTGCCGAGTAAACCAAAAAAAAAAAAGTCCGTGTCAACAATTGGGGAGCAGGGCTGGCCCGGTCGTGCTTACAGGGTCAGACTGTGCGCCAAGAAACGGCTAACATATGATTTATGACATTCTACTTGGGCCTTGGAATGGACTGGTGAATACGGTGAGTAGAATTACTAATATACTGTATGTCCTACCAGCGTTAAAACACAATGAACACACCAGCCGCAAGTGTTGCAATAGGCTATGGTAAAAATAATAATATAGTGGGGTTTTTTTTATGCTAATGATAACAACTGCAATATTGATTGTACGTGTCTGTTCAATGTTTAGGGCAGTGTTTCTCAACCTAACCTGTGCTGTACCCCACCCAAGCCGTTCTAAAATTATTATGCATTCTATGTAACTAAACACTGTGGAGAAGTCCATTTTAACAACAACAACACCCCCCCCCCCCCTCCCAAGACTGGTTTAGATTATAAAATGCACAGGAGAGAAGAAAGCCATAAAAAGGCTCTATTTGTGCAGATAAAATCGAAATCACAACGCCAACCGTTGGGCTACAAACATATTCGATTTTAAAGCTGCAACTTAAGGTTCAGCAGCTGTAAAATCTGGCTGTTCCTTCTCATCTGGACTTTGGTATTGTTCCTGAACTGTGTGTGCACATCCCTTTTAAAGATCCGACTTATTTGTAATCAGCTTGTTGGCAGTACAGGCAGTAGTGAAAGTATATCAGTTTGCTTGTTAAATCCCATATCTTGAAATTACACTTTTCAGCTAATATGATATCTACTGCTTCTTTTCCTTCTTCCCTCTCACTGATACCAGTTTGTAGCCCAGTGTTGTGGTTTTCTGTTTTTTGTCTTGCGCTTCTTGGCTGATAGTTTTGTTCATCTTTTTTTTTACAGGTTTCAGCAACACCATTTATCCATCTCTTTATTGGTCTTCTCCTCGCCTTCCTCGAAGATGTAAAAAGTCCCATATGTAGTTGATCGTTAGAGGTTTCATGAACCAACAACCAACTGAAGAATGCTGTTTCAAGAGTGTCTGTTTTGTCTTTTCAGTTCACTATAATATAAGAATGTTTGTGGCGTGTTTAAGTTCATAAGCCCCAATTTTATAATTTAATGACTGCCAAATGGTCTATGACTCACTCCATATGTTGCCACAGGAAAAAGACAGGTATGTATGAATATACTATTTACTTTACTGAATAAGACTAAATGGTTTTAACTAATTTCCTGTCTACTTTGAAATTTAAAAAACAAAAACAAAAAAAACAGCACATTACCCATCCTATATGCTTATTATACTAAATGTATTTTAGAATAAAATAGTCTACTGAGTATTTGTTTGTACTGTGATTAACAATAAACCAATCATAATGAGCCACAACACATAGATTTTGCTATGAATCGCCAGGTAAAGCAAGGCTATTCAACTTGTAGCCCGGGGGCCAGACCTGGCCCACAGAGGACTAAGAAGTGGCC